CTGTGGCCAGAGGTGCAGGGCCTCAGAACCCAGACTCCCCCTGCAGTTTTCACTCCCTGTGCCTTAACACACACACAGTGTCACCTGTGTCATGAATTTTGCTTGTCAGCAGGTTGAGGTGCATTTTCCCAGAAACCCTGCACCTATCTCCTTGAAACTTGGCAGGATTTGTGGCCTCTGTAAGAGCTACCACTGCTGCAGTTTTCACCCTACTGTGGCTTAACACACACGTGACACACGTTTTGCTTGTAAGCATCTTGAGGTGCAGTTTCCCAGAAACCTCTGCACCTATATCCTTGAAACTTGGCAAGGAAACTTTGTGGCCTCATCAAGACCTACCATCTCTAAAATTTTCACCCCACTGTGGCTTAACACACACACACGACATGAGTTTTGTTTTCAGGATTTGAGGTGCAACTTCCCAGAAACCCCTATACCTATCATCTTGAAACTTGGCAACCTTCATGCCCTCAGCAGCAGCTACCATCTGTGAAAGTTTCATCTGAATCTGCTGAAAACCAACAAAGTTATAGATATTTCATTGACTCCCCATTATACCCTATGGCTGAATCACCGAATCTTTTCTGAATCTATTTGGCTGAATCAAATCAGAAAAGCGATTCAGATCTACAAATCCAAATCGGCTGAATCTGAATTGAATAGTTGCCTATTTGCACTGGCCTAGTGATTTCCCCAGCCATGACCCATCCCTGGCCTGTGGGTTAGCTGAGGTGGGGGGGGAAATGCCCACCCCATGCCCAGTGAACTGGGGAAGCCAGCAGTGGGGGCTTTACTCCCTGCCCCAGCTGGGAGCTGGGTTGATTCTTTAACTGAGAAAGGGGTGAGGCAGGAAAATCCACCCTGCTCCTGATTGCTGGGGATGGAAAAGTCCCTGCTGGCAGCTGAGCGCGGGGCCAGCCTTGCTTTGTTGGAGCAGAGAGCACAGCCCAGGGCTGCAAAGCATGCTGGGATGCTGGGGTATTCTGGTTTAACTTAAACCAGGAAGGGTTCTGGGACAGAAGTTCCATAAACCAATGTGACCCAAATCAATTAAGTCTGACATGACATTCAACCAGGTTTCTCTCAAAACTCGTTTATGTGCACTGTTTGTAACTGGTTTATGTGCACTGAACTTACGTTCTGTTACAGGTTTAAACCAATTTCTGATTACTTATACTGGCTTATGTGTAACTTCTGTCCCAGCCTGGGTGTATTAAGTGGATCTCTTTAAGAGGCCTCATCAGGAGGAGTTGATGCTCACAGAGCAGGAATGAGTGGCACTCCTTGATGTCGCAAGGAGGCATTGTGCATATGTCACTATGGGTTCTAAATGCTTTATGACCTTCTTGAGTAATTAGAAAGAAATGTTGAGACCACTAAGGTGAGTGAGTTTTTGTGTTGAACAGAATTCAGACTAATTTGTTAAATAGAGTACAACTCAAGGTTTCCAAGCAGAGCAGAATAAAATGGTGTGGATTAAGAAGTAATTAGGGTCTAATAAAAAAGTCTAGGATTAAAATGGCTAAACCTTTTGTGCACAATAAACTTGGAGGCTTCAGTAATCTAAAACTGCATTGTTATGTCTGTAGTGTGACTCAAATTTGCAAAATGTGAGGACCAGCTGACTCAGCCAAAGAAATGGAAAGGACATAAAAGAAAATCAATGACTATCATCTACCTTTAGGGAGCTAAGACTATATGAAAGCATAGTAGGATAATTAAATCACTCAGGAGAAATTGGGGATCTAGTTACATGGTTCTGACAGCAATACTAACCACTTTTTTATGAGTATTTTGGGTCTGATTCTGCAAACATGCAACTGAGGGAATGATCCAGGCCCCTCTTAAATTCTCTCTCTCTCTACTTTTTTTTACAATGGCTCCTAATAGAAATCTTTAAATGTTGTTACATTATCTTTCAAATTCCTCAAGGTTCACCTTTGAGACACTTACAAACCTAATCTGTTGCTTTTTAGCTAGACAAAAAAGCCATACCCAGGAAAACTCTCCCCATCCCATCTTCCTTTTCTTACCTCCAATGTAGAAAAAAGACAAAAAGTAAAGAATGATCCATGTAACTAGCACAGCAGTGCCAGTACTTCCCCAGTTTCATTGGCTTGCATATTGCAACCCTACCCACTGTTCTCTTATGTCCCTACAGTGTAAGTGTTTCAGGGCAAGGTTTGTACAGCATCAAATAAAGTGGGGCTTTTGGGGTGGTACTGTAACATTAATAAGTATTATAACCTTTTTGCAAAGTTGAGCAGAGCCTGTTATTTATCATGACAAATCTCTACTTTAAATTACAATGATAGAAGTGAAAATGTTACTGCATAGTTTGACAGTTGACAGTTTGACTGGATGTTGGGGCTAAGTACAGACAGTCAAAAAGCCGAGGCTGAATTGATTCAATCTTTGCAGGTTAGTCTAAGCTGCATAGATTGAACCAATAAGCAAGTGAATGGGCATTCACTTTTGAGTCCATAAATACAGCCACGTGCCTGCAGTGGCCCAGGCCAGAAAGCAGGGGGCTCTAGAGCATGCCTCCCTGCTCAGCTGGAGCAGACAGCTTGAACCAAAGCTAGCATGCCTACCCTGGAAGGGGGAGTTTGCAGGGGAGGTGCAAAGCATCTTGGGATGCTGGGGGACTGTGAGTTAACTTGAATATGGAGGAGATCTGGGACAGAAATTCAATAAACCAGTTTAATCTAAGTAAGTTAAGTCTGATACTACATCTGTCCAGGTTTATTTTAAACCAGTTGGGGCCATTTTGAAAGTGGTTTATGTGCACTGAACTTCTGTTGTGTTACATATTTGAACTGGTTTCCAATCACTTATACTGGTTTATGTGTCCCTAGCCTGGATGGTCCTGGGCTGCTATATTGCTTGTTCTGTTCCCCTAAGATACCGTCTACTTTTCCCCCTCTCACCCTGTCTTCACATTAATTGCATTTTTGACAGAAATGAGAGGTTTGCTCAAAGGTAATGTAGCCTTAATGCTTCCCTTTTCCCTTAGAATTCAGGTGTGGTTTGCTACTGACTTCTCTAAGAAGCAACGTCAGCCCATTGTGTTTTAATAGTTAATTTTTTTCCTTGAATTTACTTCATTCTGAACTCTTCTGCCAAGTCCCATAAATAATAAGGTTCACATTGTCGAGTTCTGTTTCCTACTAACATGAAATTATTTTTCCCCCCTAACCTAGGAGAGAATGTGGACAGTAAATTGGAATCCTCTAGGCAACAGATGCCAAAGAACCAGTCAGAAGATTATGAGATAATAGTTCCCTACCTTTTGAACGGAGAACAATGGAAACCAATACATGGCATCTATTCAAAGGTTCGTTTTCATTTTGTTGATGATTATATCATGACCTATACAAAAATTGAAAGACTGTAAATAAAAACAAATGCCTGCACTTCACTACAGCTGTTATAAACATACATTGAAGATATTTTAGCAAAATGTCTGCCAACTAGAAATGATTATTTACCTTATTAGAATAAAATCTTTAAGAAAATAAATGAGAATTTTGAGCTGTTTTTTGTCATTTTGAAGTGACATTTTTTATAATGAAAACTTTGATTTCATTTTTAAATATCTATTTTGATACCTATTTCTTAGTTGCTTGAGATCCATTAATAGATTTTGAATTAATTTTATGAATGTATTATACTGGTAGAAATAAAGGGGGAAAAGCATTGGCTAACTTAAGGAAGGAATTACATTGAAAGGGGAAATGATAGATGTCAAGAAGATGAGGGAAGATGTCTAAAAAATAAGTCTGGGTTCAAAGGAAAGTCAGTGTCTGTAATGAATATATGTTATGCCGTATATACTTTCTCCTTCACCAGTCCTGTAGCTCTTTTCTGTGGGGTGATATATGTAGGTGAAGTATGAGAGTACAGTCTGTCTTAGGGTGTAAACTAGCATTGCTTCATTAAGGAGAACTTGAGACATTGCATGTATCCCGTAGCAGGCGACTGCATTTAGTGTTACTTCTGTAGAAGCAGTCCAGAGAGGGAATTGTAATTCAGTCATGACTTTCTCCCTGGTCTCCCCACTTGCTCCAGTAGAGAAATAATCTGTCTCTGGCCAGTTACAGATTGCTTCTTCCACAATACTGGCTTAGTTTTCTTGGACTGGACCCAACTCTTCCAATATTCCACGCTATTTAGATGTGGAGGAGTAGCAGCCCTTCTGAGCTTTGCCTTTCCCATGACATACAGGTTTGGTGGTAAGGGTAGCAATAAGGAAGGAGTAAGGGAGTATGTTATGGATCTCTTTCATGGGTATGTAGGGCAGGTGCCAATTTTGGACCCAACCTTTTAAATCCAGATTGTGCTACCATTTAATTTTATCACCTATGATACATTAATGTATTAAACTAAAACAAAATCTCAAATGGGGAAAAATGTAAACCTGTACTGCAGCTGAAAACTGTATATCAAGAAATCCTATTTAATTACTATAGATGTCTTCTGAGGGAAACACTTTGAGGCATGATTATTTGGAATTGACAACGCTGGGTATAAAAAGAGATTTTGAATTAATGGACATGACTTTTTCAAAATTTTTATATTTAAATTATTATTTTCTCCTTCCTTCCCCTCTCCTTATCCTCTCCCGCCCCAACCTTTCCTGTCCCAATCTATGTATTGGAAGGAAGGGCTAAGCCTATGTTTGAATGTAAGTACTGACAAAGGGAATGTTATTGTGAATCTATAAAGGCATGTGATATCTTAGGGGAGATAACACAGATGGCTTTGTCCTAGCTGTATGTGCAACTCTATTTTTAGAACATTTAATTGGAAACAGACATTCCCCTTGTAGAGTACTTTAGGCTACTCAAGCCCACTGTAGTTTTCTGAAAGGGTTACAATGAAGTATCCTTATGTGAATAATGATAATATGATTTATATCATTAATTTGTTTCCCAGATTTGCTTGCAGTTTAAGATGAACATTAGAAAAGATTTGTGGTTTGGTATAGAGATCCATGTGCTGCCTCAGCACTTCTTTGAATATTTCTTTTCCATGGAAACTGTTATAAATTAAATACATAAAAGTGCAGATCAAGCTGTGGGAAAAACAACAATGTTAAACTGGTTGAGGAATAAAATGGTGAATAGTTTGTCATGTAAATACTGATAAGTAGAAAAGTTAAACAGTGTTCTGGTAGATGTTAAGTAAGATCTGTTGCTCTTTACCTCTTTTTCAAAGCATGCCACTTTTTTTTGCTTATCTAGGTGAATTACATTGCTGAAGAAAATACAGAAAAGTAAATAACTTAATTTGTATGTAGAATGATAAAGTATTAAAGTTGTGTGTAGATAATAACCTTGCGGCAAAATCACCCCTTAGCACTTGTATGGGAGACCTTCAAGAAAAACTGAAGTGTGTTAGTCCTGCTATATATTGTAGTCTCCCCTTTCCTCTCCTCTGCCACATCCCAATAACAAAAATCTCTTCTCAGTTACTTCACTGAGCGCTCATGTTGTTCTGATTTTTGTTGGATTATCCGGGATCAGATTTTGGCATAAATTAATCATTAGCCAATGCCTCTTTGCAGGTGGCACCCCAGCAGAAAAACTTGGGGCTAGTGTACTTTTGACTGAAGTTTTCTGCACCAACATGGATGGTCTTAGCAGTGGGATCCACCTCTCCAGGACCAAAAAGTGTCAACAACTCCACTGCTACCTGTTTTATTTAAATATTACTAGCACATGACTTTTCAAGGATACTTAACAATATGGGAAGTTCAGAGGGTAATTGCCAGACATTTTCAAGCAAGGTAAATGAAAAATGGTAGGGAGAAAAAATAACGGGGTCCGACCATTCATTCAGAATACATCCAATGAATATTCTTCAGACTTTGCAGAAGCATTCTTCTTTTGCTTTCAAAGAAATCTTGACAGACCAATTTTCCAAGCTAATGTTATTGATGGTCAAACATAAGATTTTTATAATGAAAGCTAGGGGCACTTGTACATGTGATGGGAGGTTTAGTCCTCAGGGTTTTATTCTGTGCCTCCTAAATTGAAACAGTGGGTTTTTAACTGACCCCCCCTTTTTTTTGCCAGAGCCAAGCCGCAGTGGAGGGGGCGAGCTGCCACTGGGCTGAGTGGCCCCTGAGTTACAGGTGGCCATGGTCATTCCCTGTGCAGCATTCCCTGCCACCCCCTTCCAACCCCCCCCCCCAGGGGCAGACT